TCGAAATTAGAAGATAAATGCACTATTTTTAATTATAGGAAATGCGTTTTTCTAAGGTACATAAACTTTTGGGATTGACTGTATAGCCAATACATCCTTAATTGATTCAGGAAAATATTATTAATTACGGAAACAATGAAAATATTTGGAAATTGTTTTAGTGCATTTCGAAGTCAGTTTATAAGGGAATGCTAAAGTGCCTTCAAGCAGTGGCTCACGGTCTTGGACACACTTATAATAATTTCGGGCTGGGCGGTATGGCCTCGGTTTATCAATTGATGGAGATCGCGCATACTCATTACTGGAGCAAGGATTTGTCGGAGGGAGGAGGCTTCGATAGCTCTATAATGTCTCAAGTACGTACTCCACGCGAGTCATTAATATTATCAGATAATAATATTTTATCTACGATCATTTGTTTACAGTCATCTAGTCCGTTTGGTAGCAGAGAAAATTTAAGATCCCCGCAGTCTCCCACGCAGCCTGAATTTTCAGAGCCACGAAAATCAGGTAAAGTATAATGATATATCTTCAAATTATATACACGAAGTATTTCATCTATATTTTGTCATTTAATTATAGATACTCCCCAAGTACATTTGGAAATGTCACACCACCCACCAGCCAAGGAGGAGAACCAGTCGACGACCGACATGTTCCTGGACATGTTCACCAAAAAAGGAAAGTTCCTCAGCAGGCTAACGTCATTCGACTCTGAGGTAAAAGCAGCGTGTTCCCTAAGAACTACCTCCGTAACGAAGGTAGCAAAACTGTTTTCCTCTCTACGATTTCACTATCTATTGTTTTATGTCGACGCACAAACCGAAAATATTATTAATAAATGAAAACAGATAACGTTGTGTATAAAATAAATCTGTTAATTGGTGCACTGCTACATAATTATGGTGGAGATGTAAAGAGTGATAAGTATTGCCCAAGGAAAATGACGATAAAGCTGATTTGGATAAATAAATTTGGGGTCTTCGTGGAGCAAATTAATTGTTTGATTAGAGATACGTTGTATTGGTCTGTAATTGTGCTATATAGAAGCGTCATGTGTTTTTAGAGTGGGCGGGGAGGTGGAACGGGAAGCAGCGAAGCTTTATCCACAGACGGAGGTAGCATAATCACTAATCCTGCTTTTCGGCAAGCGCACCAAGCTTCTTTCCGAAGCACTGTCTCTGATAGCGAGGTCGAGCAAGGCAATGTAAATGAATCTACTGAAAATTTTTCCTCTTACCCCTAACGTAGAATTAAATTAGTCGAAACGAACGGACAGAATCAAATTAAATGAACGACCCTCGAAATTAGAATAGTAGAGCCTCCTACCTAAGAAAATATTAGTCCCTAGAGTTGTGTAGATTGTTTAGTCGCTGAAATCGAAATCGAAACTGAGGATGCAGAGCTTGTGCAATACTTGCAATGAATCAAGACGGAAGAGACAAGAATAGCATGTTGCCACGATCGGTAGATTAGCGTTTGCACTATACGTATTATAAAACACATGATTATCACAGCTTTCAATGATCATCAATAGTTTCTACAATTCATCGCTTGAAGATTTAATCTACGATCCTTTCGAGCTTTCCTTTAATAGAATTTTGATCAAACTTTCCAGAAATTTTATGTAGTTCGTAACAGAATAAGATGTACAAGCGGTTCTTAAATGATTTTGGAATTTCAGTTTCCGCGACAACCGAAACAGCGAACGGGTAGCGTTTGGTCCAGCAAATCTTCCTTGAGTACCGGTTTCCGGTATCACGGAGGAAGCTTGGTACCAACCACGACTGCTCCCAGTCCGGACGCTGCGAGGACGTATTTGTTCGAAGGTAGAAACTCCTCGAGACCATTCAGTTATTCATTGTTCAAAGAAGTTAATTTGCAAGCGTGATGAAAATTCGATTACAGGTTTACTGGGGAAAGAGAGATCCTCGCTTTGGGACCAGATGCAATTTTGGGAGGACGCTTTCCTCGACGCAGTGTCTCAAGAAAGAGACATGATCGGCATGGATCAAGGTCCAGGAGAAATGATGGAAAGGTAAAAATTAATTTTAGACTTGTTTAGAAGAAGATAACTGAAATTGAATTTCGTGCAGATATAAGACTCTCAGCGAGAGCGAGAAGAAACGATTGGAGCACGACGAAGACAGACTGCTGTGCACACTGTTACACAATTTAACGGCGATATTAGTCATGCTGAACGTGGAGAAGAACGAGGTGAAGCGTAAAGTAAGAAGACTGCTGGGCAAGAGTCATATCGGTCTGATCTACAGTCAGGAGCTCAATCAACTTCTCGATCAAATACACAATCTCGTAAGTGGAGGATTAATGAACAGAATTGTTCCTAAAATACTTGGATATTTTTTATGTTTGAATACGAAGTGACACGTTGGAAATTTCAGTACGGAAACGATATAGACCTGAAGCCTCTGACGTCCAGACAAATGCATCGGCAATCGTTCACCGTGCACGACGGCCCCGACGCCGAGGGTGAACTTCGATTCCTCGAGGTTCGCCACGATGGCCTCGTGCTCAGATCCGTGAATGGGGTGATCGTCGAACGATGGTGGTATGAGCGTTTGGTCAACATGACCTACAGCCCGAAGAACAAAGTGTTGTGCCTTTGGCGAAGGAACGGCGGCCAAACTCACCTGCATAAGTATTACACCAAGAAGGTACGTGCATCAAGAGGAATACCATACAATCATGTTTTTATTCAAAATTACTTATTTTTGTATATGCAAATTTTCATTAAAAACCGGTGACTTTGGTTTTGTCAATTCTGGCGTTTTGGAAGTGTATTAAAAATGTGAACGATCGTACTTCCAGTGCAAGGACCTGTACTACTGCATAAAAGATGCAATGGAGAAGGCAGCGGCTCGTGGCCGTGGGGCGAGCGTCGGCGTCGAGCTCGGTGGCGAATTTCCGGTGCAGGACATGCGAACTGGCGAGGGTGGGCTTCTACAGGTTTGCATGGAGGGCGTGGGTCTCCTCTTCGCGAATAGCAAGGTATGATTCGCGCTTAAACGCGTGCACCAAAACCGTTCGTTCGTTTCCTGAACGAGATGCAAGAAGAATGGGAAGAACGACCTGTCTTTCTTAACCGGTTGTTGCAAACCTATTCCCTCTCTATCTATAGACTGCGGATTTTGTGCATTTAGAAAGAATGCTACTCTAGCGATCCAATGTTTAAATATATTGAAAATGCATAGAAATATTCTGAATATCAAAAACGATTTAATGTATAAATCATTAGAACGATCGTACTTCCAGTGCAAGGACCTGTACTACTGCATAAAAGATGCAATGGAGAAGGCAGCGGCTCGTGGCCGTGGGGCGAGCGTCGGCGTCGAGCTCGGTGGCGAATTTCCGGTGCAGGACATGCGAACTGGCGAGGGTGGGCTTCTACAGGTTTGCATGGAGGGCGTGGGTCTCCTCTTCGCGAATAGCAAGGTATGATTCGCGCTTAAACGCGTGCACCAAAACCGTTCGTTCGTTTCCTGAACGAGATGCAAGAAGAATGGGAAGAACGACCTGTCTTTCTTAACCGGTTGTTGCAAACCTATTCCCTCTCTATCTATAGACTGCGGATTTTGTGCATTTAGAAAGAATGCTACTCTAGCGATCCAATGTTTAAATATATTGAAAATGCATAGAAATATTCTGAATATGAAAAACGCTTTAATGTATAAATCATTTAATACACATATTTTGAAACTGATTTGTTTCGTATAAAAATCCGCAGTCTGTTCATCTATCTACCTATCTATCGTTTCTTTACATTGGCCAATTGTTGTAATGTTGAGCACCCAAAGGTAATCCACTCTTATTATCGAGTATACTACATTACCCATCCCACTTCTATAAATAGCGAGGCTATTCCTTTATCTACAACTGTTCTTTAACTATATACATATGTCATGTCTTCTTTTGGCGATGTTACTGTATCCAGTATAATGTTTGAAAACCGTATAACCATGTAATTTATTTCAGCGACCGAAACATACCCAAATATATTACATATATAGACGAGAATTTGTTATGGGGTTTGTTCTCGAGGTCGCCAACATTCGATCCGTTGCAATTATAAAAGTATTCAATATAACTTGTTAAAAAATATCTATCGGAGATAACATGATTATTCGCTGCATTTGAACAATACGAATCGGCGTTGCATGGTGCGTGGCAGGATCGAACGATGGCGAGCGACGAAGGGGAACGCATCTCGAATACCCTTGACAAAAAATCCCTTTTACTGTTCATACTCTTTCGATATTATTGAATCTTCTCTGTGTATTACTTTTTTCGTTTCTTCCTTCTGTTTTATTGCATTGATGCAAGGACCACTCAATATTATCTCCCATCGCTAGCCACCACGATTTGCTTAATTTTTTATCTGTACGTACTATCATTATTATTATTATTATTATTATTATCTTTACCAACTCTTATGTATGAGTTTGTGAGGTGATACGAATAGTTCGTCGCATTCATTCTCCCCGTACCGAGACGGTAATCGCCTCGAGCCTGTACGACACATTAACGAGAACGAGAGATGGGGAATTAGAATCTTTTTCCAGGCTGCTATACAGCAAACACGAGACAAACATACAAGATACATGCACAGAGAGACAAAGGGGGCCGATTGACGACGGGGATAAGAACGAAGAGAGATCAAGCCGATTATTAGAATGACAATTAACGAGGATAATTAATTAATCACATATTCATACGATATCACACACTCATACACACTGTTGAGTAACTAATCGAAACGAATAAACGATTGTCCACATATAGGAACGAGCTACCCCTAATACGCTGGTCACCACAATACTATATATATTCTACTTTTTATTTCACTGGATATATTCGTTCGTTTTTCTTCTCTATATATACTCGATTATTTAACACTTATTATGTGGTAATTGTACTTTACATACAGAGGTATTTGCGATGTATATACATGAACGTATCTACTCCATACGCGTACGTGCATATATATACATACGTATATAAATTATCGGTCATTTCGTTGGGTAATATTTTCGTTCAAGCGTTAATCAGTGTTTTCTTGCATGGAGCTCGATGTGCAGCTGCAGTCTCTTTTTATATCTGTATTATATATAATCATACATATTCTACATTTATCATATACTATATACATTCATATAAGTGATAAGGGCTAGGGAATATATACAAAAAAAAAAAGATACTTGATTTTATACATATAAACCAGTGCATTTCAATTTATATAACTGATCTGCTCTGTCTACCTGTTTTCCTACCATCGATCGGTGTTAGTTGTGACACGTACACACCCGTGTATATATGTATATTACACGCGCTACGGAGTACATATATATATATACATGCGTGTATTAGATGTTCCTTTATATATTATCAGGTATTAATTGGTCTATAATACGCAGAACAGTGTCTGCTCGATATTTCAGTCCGATGACATTGTTATTAGAGAGTACATATATATATATATATTTGTGAGTAGTGTTTTAGTGCAACTTGTAGAGAGCAATGTTTCAGTGCACTCGACACAATTATTCATATGTATATGTATGTCGCAGATTCGAAAAGGGCTGCGATATATGTATATATATATTTTACATAGCCTTCTACTCCGTACACACTCCAGTACATACTCATTGCCCACGTGCGCTTCTACATTTAGTGTTGATCGTAGAGTAATTCAATTAATACGAGTATCGGTGATTATTTTCGTACTGGAGGTGGCAAAGAGAAAAAATACTGATACGGTTCGATAAGAGATTATAATTAAAATTGGCTAGTGTGAAAATTATAATTAAAATGTATCTGAAAGATGCGGAGGTCAATCTCGATTAAGTCCTATCTTGGATATTTTTTCTGTATTTCCTTAATTTACTCGAAATAAACATGTTAATCTCGTTCGCTGATGAAAGCGGTTTGGAGTGGTCGTTCGTACTCTTTGATATTAATCAGACCGAAGCATCTTTCAAATCCACTTTCAAACCTGAAATCAAATGAATAAAATTTCGGAGTACGGCCTATGTATTGAAGCAATATGAAAAAAAAAAAATGGATCATTCGAAGATTTGACTTCTGATCGCAAAATCGGGTGACGGACGCGCGATAACGGGCGAAGCTAATTCCCGAGGACCGACCGACAATGGGACAGTTTCGTTTTCCATTTCTGTTTAGTTTCCGTTCGTCATTTCCGCTAGGGATAAACGATAGAGATGAATGTTTATGTCTCTAGGGAAATTTGAATGCACTGCATGAATGAAGTAGATCTCGATATATATGTACGATAGAGAAAAGTCGCCCGCTTTTGCAGAAACCATTTATCGAAACCACTCTCACGTTGCCAGTTATGTAGTAGAGCAATGGTATCGTGCTATACATATAGTGATGTCCGATTTGATGAATGACATACAACGTGAAAAACGCACACCAACTCGAGATTCAATTTTCTCCGGCCCCTACACGAACACGTTTCTATTACAGTGTTTTACAAACTCTGCAACCGACGACAGTTCCTTCAGTTGCACTTTGACTTGAAAAAACTCCTAAGCCTTAATTTTATTTTTCTATATAAATGATCTCGTAATAATTAACATCAGTTTGAAAAACACTGTTTTACAGCATGGCACCGCTGTACACGATGTTTCGATCCCACGAACCCCAGACACGATTAATAGTCCCCTCTACCACACGATCGATCAATCAATCATAACTGTGCATCATTGAACAAGATGATAAAACGATAAAGAGAATAAAGGGCCAAGTGTCCCAGACTCGCGCATATCTTTAGATATAGTACCAATGTCAATTGCACATATAGCAGATCTATCGATTACATTTATACGAGTTTAGGCCATCTCCAGAGTTGCCTGCCTGCCGCCAAGATGATTAACTGTTAAATATATCTGCCGCAATGTTATTGTATAGACGCTGTGATATTTCTGCTTCAGAGCGCGAGCCTGCGATTTAAGTATCTCGCTTACTGTTTTGCCCGCCTCGCAGCCGGAAACGCGTGCACGGTCGCGAATAATCCAGCTTTCAGCCACAGCTTTTATCGAGGACGACTTGGCTTTGATTGAGAGAAGAAAATGATGCATGGTCCGTGCCAGCTTCACTGCTAATAGCACTCGCATGCCGAATTAGAGACCCTCCGGATAATAATTAATGACAATTACTATCCGGAGGATCTTTAGCTAACATCGTTCTTGTATACACGAACTGAAGGAATTCTTTTTCGAGTTATTCTAAGGATCGAGTACTTTTGATTTGGGTATACCTGAACGTGCATGAATTTAGAATATAAATCCCTGAGGAACTCACACTTGTTAGTAGATTTAATCACTTATGTTGAGAGGAGAGTTCGTTGAGAAACGAAAAAGCTGTTACCTGAGCTTTTCTCTTTGATGCATCGAACGGAGATACGAGAAAAAAAAAAAAGATACTTGATTTTATACATATATATATATCTCTTACTATTATAATTTGTATTGAATGTTGGATGCCATATATTTTTCTCTATTGAGTCTAACGATTCGTTTCCTTTTTCTATCATTATTTGTCGTGGTCATACGCGAGGAAAGTCTATCTGTAATGAATTTCGACACCGATAAAACGTGGCAGGGGACGAGTAATTAATTACACGATAATCGCTAAACCAGTTTTTATTTTTGCCGTCAGTTTAATCGCGAAATGACGAAACCGGCGATGATCGTTGCGTCAATTATTATTAATGACGATCGATAGACTTTTCTCAGCTTGGGGAACTTTTGAGATGGTCCTTGAACAATGAACAATCACCGCTGACTTGTTGAAGCGTAACGAAAAAAAAAAAAATGATTGGCCATGACGCTAGGTATACTATATGATAATAAATATTTCTAGCTGCTACTACCATCATCGTGCCCTACCGTCGAGCCCTAACTAACTAACCAATTGATTAACCATGAAAATAATCTGAGTGGACATTAATTCTAATCACATTAATTGTTAGCAGAGATTTAATTTTCTGTTTTTCTGTTTTCTGTTTTCTTGTCCTGTCCGTCGACATTGCCCCTGGGCTGGGCATACACAGGATTTCGAGGTACTAATCAAATTAAATCACTGTTTGTTATTATATGAACTCAGTATATTAATTATAATCAATGTTGGCCGTGTTCCGGAAATGCTTATTTATTTCACCATTTACTTTTAGCCGTATTATTATTAACCATATATCTACTACTACCTACCTACTTACTTACTACTACTACTACTACTACTACTACTATACTACTACTACTACTACTACTACTACTACTACTACTACTACTACTACTACTACTACTACTACTACTACTAC